TCATTTTTTCAGGTAACAACTTTTTTGACATCAGTCTCTGATTCAGATCTTGTAATACTACCAGAGGAACTTCCACTCTGAGTACTGCTGCTACTGCGCCTTCGACTACGTCTATGATAATGGCTGCTGTCACTTGAGCTGCTGCTCGTATAACTGCTAGAGCTACTACCACTGTCGCTGCGTTGTCGCATGTTTCCCCTACCACGTGCTTGCCGAGCCTGACAGATAAGTGAATGTTAGTGTGTTACATTTAGGTAGTGTTGTGGTCATTGTTTAGCACATGTTAAAATTCAGTTAAACAAAGAATATATTTTGTATACTTCGCATGAAACCCACATCAAACACAACATGTTTACTACAAGTACACAAAGGCATTAACCCTTTCAGTGCTAGAGTTTTTCCCGACGCTAATTCAGTGCAAATATTTTACATTTTGTAAAATTTTCACTAAATGTCATCATCATTTTGGACCATACAAAGAGTTTTATTTACTGCTCTTAGTTTTTGATCACAAGTTTGTAAATTTGTATCAACATTTCATGTGGGGGGAAGACCAAAGGAGTAGGCTGTAGAAAATCATATACTGTAAAATACTTTACTTTCGCTTGGAATTAATTTTCGCTTTCGCTGAAGGAATGATTCAGTGAAAATAAAATCCAGCGAATATACCTTTTTTCCATATTTAACATTCAACACATCAAAAATCAGTGAAAATAAATTCCATACAAAACACGCGAAAAGTCTTTTCAGCGAAAATTAATTCCAGCTAAAATAAAGCATTTTACAGTATTATGTAGATGGTGCCAAAAGTTGACACTAAAAATGTCATATCAAAGATGTCAGACACGCCAAAACAAAAGAAGACAGTGCGAAAAAGAAGAGGATCACACACTCAGGGAACATATTCCCCTGTAACAAAATTTTTATAACATTAACACTTCAAAACAGTTTGACTGATCATTTATTTAAACATTCGTTTTTTTATAATTTCTTTGTGCATTTTGGACAAATACTGTATTCACTGGGTTTTAATTTTGCTATTTTCGTTGATAATCAAAATTCGCTAAATTAATCTACATGAACATGTAATATAACAATTATAAAACTCATTGTTTCCTTGACATATTTTTGAAATTAAAAACAAAGTGAATATGCTCAAAATAGTAGAAATAAATCGTTTTATGGTATACATCACTGAAAAGTTGATCAACTTACATTTTGGTCGTCTTGCCAACTGCTTCCAGAAGATGATAATTTTGCATTCATCAAATCACTGAAACCCACTTGGGTTGTCTCTTGGGGTTTACTGGAAGTTGAAAACAGACACAAAAAAATAACATTAATAAAAAGCAACATCTGTTTTTATTTTTAAGACAAGTAAAAAACAGATTCAAAACAAATAAAAAATTTACTTTGAAGCATCAGACAAGAGATAGCAAATTTGCAATTTAACTGTTATTTGCACTCAGATGGTTTCCATGAACTGATACTCACTCAGATTTTGTGGGACTTCTTAACTGTGATATACTGCTGTCTTTCTTTTCTAATTCGTCTTGACAAGATTTTAAAAACTTCACTACCTCTTCATGGTTATACTGCTCAGCTAAATCTAACGGTGTTCGTTCCATGATGTCTTTGACGTTCAATGACGCTCTGTTTGCAACTAGCCATTTACAACACTCTAAATTTCCACTGAAATAATGATAACAATGAATAAGTCAGTAAAAATCGAAGACGCCACATAAAAAGACGCAGTGACCCTTTTCCGAACTTAGAATGCAACTTCCAGTTTGGGTGTAATTTTATCTTACCAGGGTAGAGCCAGGACATTCATAATAACAAATTCATCATAATGTAATGTAATCATGTGTAATTCATGAAGCGATCAGACACAGTAATACTGTAAAACATGTTGAAAAAACGACATGCAATTTTAGCGAATTGTGGTAAAATGACGTAATAGCGAAATGTTGATTTAGCGAATCTCTCTTGTCATTGTTGATTTCCTGTTTTCACAAGCGCCCCAGATTTTTATCTTCCAGATTACTGTATACAAATCCCCAAGCCTTGGCCATTTTGAATTTATAATAAAGTCATTAACGACATCTTGAATTAGCGAATCAGTTCTCTCGCTAAATTTGATAAAAAAACATGCTCGCGAATAGACATGTTTTACAGTAACTTAATCAACAGAGAGCTTTTTCATACCTCATGGCTGCTAAATGCATCGGTGTTTGTTTATCAACGGTCGATTTGTATATAGATGCACCCATTGCAGATAACGACATTACGCATTTGACGTGCCCGTTCAATGCCGCCAAGTGCATTGCTGTGTACCCTGTGTTAGTTTCCTTAGTCAGATCACTTTCGTTGACTGACAACCATTTTAATATTTCCAACTGGTTAATCTCAGCTGCTATGTGTAATGGAGTCTTGCCGTGCTCGTCAGTTTTGCTAAAAAATAATGTAAATACAAATACTTATAAATATGCATTTTTATAAATCAAAATATATAAGCGACAGTGAATCATGTCCAAAGCAAAACTATAAACTAAATTAGAGATTTAACGCTACAGTGCCATAACATCGTCTATACCGGACACTTACTTGATGCAGCTTTTGTCCTTTCCTACAAGCTCTTTAACTCTGTCCAAATCACCAGCTTTTGTTGCTTCATGTATGGACTTTCCACGGTGTTGATGACGCTCTTCTTCGTTCTGAGAAGTGGATGGTGTTGCCTTTAAAGTAGTTTCAGAATCCTCGCTGGCTTTTATTCCAAGCTTTAATTAAAAAGAAGGTTAAGTCATTTTAAATACAATACAATACAGTAACTGTGTTCTGTTATGTTTCATCTGTTTAACTTTATAAAATGAGAACAGTGAAAAATGGTCAGAGTTACCAGGTAAATGTCACAATTTGGATTTAAGCATGTTCATTGGATTTTACCAGTAAAAGTAGTATGCGACAAAGAATGCAGACATACAAATGTAGAAAGGGGGAAAACATTCGTCACACATCGCACATTCAAATCATGTGCATTTCTCATGTGATTATACATTGCATGGGACTCATAACAAACTGTGATGCTTTAAAAACCAAATATTCTGATTTACCTTAAACCCTTCCATGTAAGCCTCGCTGGTCTTTTTATCCTCGTCTGACGTTACTGTTGTTGTTGAAGGAGGTGGTGTTGGCGATGATGGTCTCGGAGGGATATCTTTCGATTTATCATCCTCTTTTCTCCTTCTATCATCCTCTGTTTCACTTCCGCTGCTATAGCTACTACTGGATGAAGTCACACTATCTGAATCGCTATCAGTGTGAGACTCACTATCTGAGGAGTATCTATTCTTTGTTGATTCTTTTTGTTTTTTTGAGTCACCGTTGGTTGTCATCTTTTCTCTCTCCTTGACCGATTCATCATCAGACTCGGACGACGACGACGATGATGATGATGATGACGATGAATACGTAGATGATGATAAGGAGGCTTTGCTTTCACGATCTTTTTCATTAATTGTGGGCAAAGCAGTCCCCGGCCTATGTTCCGAAGATCTTCTTGATTGATCAGAAGACGACCCATCATTATGTTTGGCTTCTTTTTTCTGATCCCCACGCACCCCCAAAGGCTTAGCGCTTTCCCTTGAGGGTGCTTCCTCGTTTCCCGAATAAGACTTTGGTTTACTTCTAAATTCAATTTCAGTTTCGGTTTCAGTTTCTGTTATGGTATCTGAATCAGACGATGAGGATTCAGAAGCCAAAGAATTTGTTCTGCTGGATGCAGATGAGAGTTGAGGAGCCGGATCACCGCGGCGTACTCGTACGACTTTGACACTGCCTTCACTATCACTCTCACTGTCAGTATCAGTTGCAGTATCAGTATCAGTTGCACTATCACTTTCGCTTTCACTACCAGAGCGACCACGAGATACACTAGTATGACTAGTTTTGCTGTCATATTTCTTCTCATCTTCAGATTCACTAACTTCCTGTGTTTCCGTGGTGTCACTTACATTTCCATCAAGAGACGGCTGACTATAATGTGTACTTGCTTCACTTTTCTCGACCAGACTTTCGGGCTCTGTCTGCGTATCATCCTCGCTTTCAGATTCGCTTGAAGATTCTACAATGAATTCAGACATTACAAATTTAAGTTAAACAAATTTTTCTCAACTATATTTTTTATAACTCTTTTGTTGATATTAGATCATATAGATATAATTTATTATAGTTTACTTTTTTATCGTATAAAATACACAAGATACTGTGAACCAAATGTTTTGAAATTTAGATAAGTGAAAATGAAAATAAAGTCACAGCAACTTAAAAACACCATTAATAAATTATCAGATAAAACCTGACTTCACTAATATAGTTAAAACACGGTGGTAGATGCCCTATTGAAATATAATTTAAACCATATAATAATTATAAATATATGCAAACATACCATAAGTAACATTCGAGAGCGGTAATACTCGTATTGTCCGTCCATTGTCATCTTTGGCCGATAACCATCTATTACATAAAAACTCGTTAACTGTGCCTTCGGCTTCCTTAATTATGACCTTATCCAAATACCAACCCATACCTATAACAAGTAATAAAAATCATTTTTGTAAATACATTTGTGCCTGACATTGAATATCGCTGTGTCTCACAGAAAACATATTCCATGTATGAGACTATGCGACAGAGTTGTACTACAATGGGATAAAAAGGTTGTAATGTGCTATCAACCAGGCCTGATCGAACAAAGTGGCATCTATTGGTGAATGAATCTCAGCCAGTGGAATAATACCTTCCCATTGAGTCTGTGACACACTAATCAAGAGTAAGGGTTAACTACTTTTTGGCGTTTAAACCGAGCTGGTCAGGTTAACGGTTCGTGAATTTGATGAAACAATTGCTACACTAGCAGTAACAAACAGTGTTGAAGTCGTCAACTTGATAAAAACAGCTCCAAATATTTGAGGAAAGAGGGAGGTGTTGAAGTTGTCAACTTGATACATGCTGCTCCAAATATTTGAAGGGGAGGGGGTGTTGAAGTCGTCAATTCGCAACATGCACTTCCCAATATTTGAGGGAGGAAGAGGTGTTGAAGTCATGAACTTGATACATGCATGCTGCTCCTAATATTAGAGGGGGAGGGGTGTTCATGACAAACACATTTAAATTATTTGTAAATACATGTATATACAATGCTCTTGATATTTATATTATGATAAGAAACTGGTCACATAGTAATGTACTCCGGAAACAACTATATCCAAAGCTGCCACCTAGATACAACTAAAAAACAAAGTTGTGAATTTAGAAATATCAAATACAAATTATTTACGTATCCTCACCTAGTTCTATTCTATCATGTCCAATTTCTATACATTCCAGTCTGCCAACATGGTACGTGTCGACTTTGAATAAATCAGTCTGTTAAGAAAGAATCAATATGTAACATGAGTAGTACTGTAAAATCTGGATTAGAAACCGCGGCTTCTATTAAAATGGTACAATGCAACAGAGAGGATGCGGCTTCTATTAGAGCATCTACACATATGAGGAATGATGATTTTTTGGTTCTCAATTATTCAAAAAGAATGGGTGTGACTTCTATTAGGGATGCGGCTTCTAATACAGATTTTACGGTACAGCATTTGTATCAATTTTCAAACATAGCAGGCGGGGGAGTCGTCACCTGCGCATGTGTCAGATGGCCATAGCGTGTCATTGTTTACAAACAAGTGTCTACCTATGAGCATTTGCGGTTTTAGCATGTGTTGTCATCATCGCTTGGGACTCAATTCTCGTGTGTATTTGATTTTAATTTTTTTAAATGTAGACACAAAGTCTACCAATCATGTTCAGGGAACAGCAATTTAAGTTTATTTACTCACCTGTCCTTTCTGGAATTTAATTTTATTTCCAAGTTTTGATTGCTTGAGTTTTATTTTACCGGTGTTTCCTTTGATGCCGTATATAGTTAGGTATATATCAGCTTTGGTGCTGGCCCCCAATCTATTGCCGGTCATAACTTGAATCTCATAGATGGTCCGCTTTCCAGATTTTAGTTTCGGACCATGTTTTAATTTCTCTAACTCATTCTACAGAACAAAAAGAATGTTATGCTATTAGAAATAATGTATCAATATAGTCACTATGTTGAAGAAACTAATACTTGGTTTAGTAAATTTGAATGAAAGTTTTATTGCAATTTAAATTAGGGGTAAACATTCAGACAATTTTTCACTTTCACAAAATTTGCAACCCAAAAAATATTTTTAGTTTTTATATAATATGCAGACTAGATTTGTCCTATGACCTTTCTCACTGAAGAAGACTGATTAGTATGCAAATATATGGTAATGATATGCAGACTAGTTCGTCTTATGACCCTTCTCACTGAAGAAGACTGATTACTGGTAGTATGCAAATATATGCTAATGATATACAGACTAGTTTGTCCTATGATCTTTCTCATTGAAGACCGATCAGTACGCAAATATATGATAAATATATATAGTTTAGATTTGTCATGTGACCTTTCTCAGTAAAAAAGACTGATCAGTATCCAAATATATGCAAACTAGATTTGTCTTATGACCGTTCTCATTAAAGAAGACTGATCAGTATGCAAATATATGCTAATGATATGCAGACTGGTGAGTCCTATGAACTTTCTCAGTGAAGATGACTGATCAGTATGCAAATATATGCTAATGATATGCAGACTAGTTTGTCCTATGAACTTTTTCATTAAAGAAGACTGATCAGTATGCAAATATATGCTATGATATGCAGACTAGTGAGTCCTATGAACTTTCTCATTGAAGACGACTGATCAGTACGCAAATATATGCTAATGATATGCAGAATAGTTTGCCTTATGACCTTTCCCATTGAAGAAGACTGATCAGTATGCAAATATATGCTAATGATAGGCAGACTAATTTGTCTTATGAACTTTCTCATTAAAAAAGACTGATCATTATGCAAATATATGGTTATATGCAGACTAGTTTGTCCTATGAACTTTCTCATTGAAGAAGACCAATCAGTACGCAAATATATGCTAACAATATGCAGTCTAGATTTGTCATGTGACCTTTCTCAGTAAAAAAAAATGTTCAGTATGCAAATATATGCTAATGATATGCAGATTAGTTTGTCCTATGATCTTTCCCATTAAAAAAGAATGATCAGTATGCAAATATATGCTAATGATATGCAGATTAGTTTGTCCTATGAACTTTCTCATTGAAGAAGACTGATCAGTATGCAAACATATGCTAATGATATGCTAACTATATTTGTCCTGGCATTGATATTCTACTCACATCTGGGTCTGGATCAGCAGGTTTGGATATATCAGCCTGTATTGCTATGCCAGGCATCTCAGTAGTTTGTGCATAAATTGGTTTAGTATTCACTGTAGCTTGTGCACTGCTATCAACCAACTGAATACCTGCAACAAGGTGAGACATCATTAAAACAAATTTACACAGATATTTTAATTTCTAGCTAAATTTTGAAGAAATTATATTCAACTTTTTTTTTCAACTTCAACATTTGTAGTTTATTTAATACATGTACAACATATTTCAAAACAGGATTGATGTGGAATATGCCTATCACTATAATAACTTTTGCCAGCAACTTTTGTCAGCAAGCTATCGCAAAATAAAACCCACACTTTTTTTCCAAATTACGATCAGGACATGCAATCAATAGGAAAATACGTTTATTTGGTCCAAAATTATAACAACAAATTTAGAAAAATACATAAAAACAGGCAAAGAATTGCACTAAAATTTTTGAGGAAAAAAAAAATAATTATGTTTATATGTTGTTACTTACCAGTGGAAGCATGGGTTACAGTCTGGACGGATTTGGCACCAGCATAACTAATTGTCTGCGTCTGTTGCGTCACATCAGTTTGTGTAGACATATCGGTGCTGACAAAATCACCACCTCTCTCAACTGGACTCCTTTCTCGTCTATGATCACCATTTCTCTCAACTGGGCTTCTTTCTCGCCGATGACTGCTCTGTGTTCTTCTTTCTGGTTTGGGTGGTTTTTGATCCCTTGCTTTGGCTCTTTGCAGTCTGTGTACAATAATTCATTAAACTTAAAGATACGGTACAGTACGTGAACTTGAACGTCATTTCAGTCCCTCCTCAATACAATTATTGCTCATATAAAACACATCTATTATTAAAAATGCACGTAGTGCTTCTCCACCAATGATAATGCTCTATTGCATTTTATATACACTAATGTCTTGTTTTCAAGTCTGACTCATATTCTCAATCAAATCCCTTTGTTCTCATAAATTTCCCTCAGATTTTTGCAACATTAAAGATGAAACACTGACCAAGTTTTACTGTGCTGAAAAAAACACACGATGATTTGTATTTTTGAACTCAGAGTTTACAGAAAAGGTGATGTGACTGATATGCTGCCTATTGAATTCTATGGAACATAGTATTGGTCATTTGCTTTGAGGCTAAATGATGTTTCAGATGGTAATGAAGTTATAAGTATTCGTAAGTTGATCATTACATGGACCTTGTGTAAAATGACTCAACAGCACTATTTAGTATTAATTTTATATATATTTCCACATTTTCAAGTTTTCTAAACCTGTATCTGTTTAACCATGCAGGCACCAAAACTTTCAGAATGTGCATCTTCATTAGTGAGAGCATACCTCAAGAGGACATATTCAAACAGTGTCGTCCAAGGGAAGATCCAGTTCCGAAGCATGCAAAAAACAATCAGATATTTGCTGTGCGCCCTCTTAAATATACCCAGATGATAAAAGAGACTTCTACAAAATCACTGTTACTTACGCGAGCCATTCGGGTAAATGTTTAGTGTTTCCTTTCGGTACAATGACTTTTATACCATTTGGTCGGTGAGGAACTCTATCAGAACTTCTATCTGTTTCCGAATCTGATCTGCCATTTGTATATGGCCCTGATGATTCCTACAGAGTAAATAGATATTTGAAACACATTTGTCAGCTTTGGATATACAGATAATATGTGGTAAAAATCACAGTCCATCAATAAATTGAAATCAATAGCACCGCTCTAAGAGGCTACCGGTAAACACTATATTGAACAGGTATCTTATTAGTAGCTTGATCCACAGTCAGTGGATTCAATGAAGCAAGTTTTTTCTCTCAACAATGTTGTATCGGGGATTGCGTTAACCCCATATTTTGCTTCCCAGACTCTAATAATTGAAGAGAAACCCAATTTTTCAGGCAAGCTGGGGTCCAATCTCTAATAAAGTTATCCAGGGTCAAATTTCAATTTATTAAAATTTTGTAAGTAGGACTCGTCTTGCTAAGACATTAGCGCAATCCCTGTTGTATGCTTTTGCTTGATAAACGACCAACTCAAAATGTGTGAATAGATTTTACTGACTAAAGGTACATTAACATTTTCACCACCAGACTTTCTTGCCCAAATTATTCTGCACTTTTTTCTCATGTTCTTCGATATTTCTGGAAATGAATGCTAATTTTGAACAAACAGACAAAATTTGAGTCAAAATTTAGTTTTAACTCAAAATAGGTGGCTATTTTTGACCCAACCTTCTGAAGGGAAATGCAGACTATAAACAAGATTATATTGTAAATTTGTGATGAAAAGAGGAAACTGGATGTGAAAAGTTTAAGGTTATACTGAGAAATAAATTACAGAAGAACATTAAAAGATAAACCTGAAAACTTACATCAACTCTTGAAATTCTATATTTTCTGCCACTAAGATCATAGGCAAATTTAGCACTACTTGGTCTGGTGGGCCTCGGCCGTGCACCTTTAGCGGTCCTTGGTCTGTTGGGTCTCCGTATATACCCACCGGTTGTCCTTGGCCGTGGCCGTACTGCAACTTGGCTACTGGATGCACGAGTAGAAGTATCATCACTATGGTAACCATGTCGATGATAATGATCATCGGGATGACTGTCTATGTATGGTAAGCTCTCTTCATCGTCATCATGTTGAATTCCATAGTACTTAAAAAAAAATTAGGAGATAAAAATGTTAAACTTTGTCTATATTTCAATAAGTGTGTTTTGTTGAAAACGATATGCCTTCTAACATGACTGGTTTTGTACGGAGTCATAAACTAAAATGTTGTGATTCCTCTTTTATTTTGTTTTAAAATGTGAATTTTATATTACCAATTCACAAATCCCATGAATATAATATTCGTTAAGATGTTTTTGAATGTCTATATCAATGTATGATTTCCTGTGGCATCATTTTGTATTCCAGGGAATAAGCTTATCTTGCAGCATCACAAAAATATCTGTACACGTGAGCAATGTGTGTTCTTTCGACTCAGACGACACACTGGGTTACAGCAAGCAGGTAAACGTGATACAAAAACATTTTGTAAACACTTTGGATTTAATATTTCACTCATACATTTTTTAATTATACCAATGACAAATGATGTTACAGTGGAATTGGATAAATTGGAGTCTCTGTCTCATGGATGTTATCCAACTCAGGATATATTACAATTTTGTACTTACAGAATCATATGGTCTTCCATGAGGAGCTTGTTTTTTTTTCCCCCTTCCTTTTGTTCCTGTAACAGCTTCCTGAAATGAAACAACACATACCATGATAATAACAGCCATGTGACATGTGTAAATGACACATAATATCGCATACGGTAAAATACTTTATTTTCGCTATTTTTGCTGAAAAATAAAATCCAGTGAATATACCATTTTTCTTAAATTTTACATTCAACTCATCAAAAAACTATGAAAATAAATTCTATACAAAACACCCAACAAGTTTTCTCAGCAAAGATCAAACTGTTTCAACAATTTTGAGAGAGTTGTACATACAAAACTCCCTGTGAATGTATAACTTATAAGAGCTTAACCATTACAATCTTTATTTGGAAAGAGTTCCTTTTGTATCCCTTGCTCTCTAACCCTCATCCCCTAGCCCCCAATTCAATTATACATTTCAATTATATACGATGGGCATATATAATTAAATTGGGGTGTGCTGGAGGGTAAGGGCTAGAGTGGGGGTATATAAAGAACTCTTTTCCTTCATTTCACCATATTCAGATTGTACAACAAACAAACATTTGACTTTGTCAGTGTATCACAGTAACGACTTTCAATAGTGATTTCTATACCGTCATTTCCCACTATGCGTGCATGTATTCCCAGCATTCTAATGTAAAACCTTTGATTAAACTAAAAAAATTCAACCCAAATGATCCATTTTGCTAAATTAACTACATGTTGAACTTAATGGACTTAGCAAGCTCCTATTAAATATATCTAAAATAGCTGAAAAGAGATGTGCTTTACCGTAGTTTCACCTGGTTCTGTCTAGAAAGCAAAATTGAATTTGTTTCAATATGAGTAGTAAATAGTCACAACTCAGATACTATATGTGTATTGTGACGAAGTACTGTCTCAGTGTCATGCATTTAACTGTAAACAGCTTTAAATTTCTATCACCAGTGAAAATTATAAATTTTGTTGGCAGTGAAAATTACACTGGTCCTACGAAATGGAATGTCACAAATGTTATGAATCTTGAAATTTGTGAAAATTATCAACAGTAAAAATTAAGTGATTTATAGTTAATGATTATTATGAACTTAATTCATTGGGTGTGAAAAGCATTCCCTTTTTTTAAATTAGAAAAGTTAGGCTAAGTGTTACGATGACATGCAACACAATTGCTAGAGATAAATTTATTTACACCAACACTGTGACACATGTTCCGTTGTGTATTTCTAAATTCTAATCCATAAATGTATGTATATCAAAACTTTTGTACATCCTATATAAATGGGTGTGTAATGAAACAAAACCATGTAATGGTTTCACAGCGCCATATTATGAATCATTATGAATCTAAATATTTGAGCCAACATTTCTATTAAATTGAAAAAGAAATGGACAATCATCGTCAACAACAAAATAATTTTTTTATTTGCCCTAGTTCATTATTTTAGTATTAATTAATACACATGGTATTGTATATAAATTAGTTAAAAAATTTTCTGCAACAAAACCAACCATGGGCTCTACTGTAGTGATATCGGTAACATAAACCTGTATGATCAGTTTATCCTATCCATCAGTTAATGTATATACTTACAGTAGCTGCCAGTAGTTTGGTTGCTGTGTTTATAATCCTCTCGGCCTCACCTTTGGAAACATAACCTGGTGGTCTGCTTCGTAACTGGACATTACCACCTCGCAGCGAACTTGATTTTCTGTGGACGGGAAAACGTTAAAATTGTTACAAACACAGTAATCACTGTAGGTCTCACCAGTGGCTGTAATTTTAACAGACCAGTGAGCACACCGGGTAAACTGATTCTGATAATGAAATTTTGAGATGAGGTTCACTTTTTAACCTAGCTAGAATCCACTAATGCAAGAAATCATTAAGGTTTACTAATAAAGAAAACACACTTCTAATTTCACAGATTGGACCACTGGACTATAGTACTTTAAGCAGTGAGAATGAGGTTGTCATGGCAATGTATTGATGCTAGGAGATGTCATTCAGATACGATTATATTGTCATGGCTAGGCAATTTCAGCATCATGGTTCTCAAATATTACACAGTTGTCAAAACACTAGACAGATGTTGTATTTTTATTTGTACATTTTAAGGTTTAATTTTTGTACATGATGGGAAAGATGTCTGAGTACAACAGAAATTGCAATTTCTGTAATTTTCACAATTCACTGTATGTTATGCCTGCTCATAAGAAATGTAATTGGCGAGTTTGTCCAATTTTTGTTTGTTCAATAAATAGCGTGCAAGCACATCATGTTGAAAAAAATAAACATTTTTTATTTTTTATCTGAATAGTTGATTTCCCGTTCACTACATGATCTTGCACATTGTGTGAAAGGCATGAACCAAGCCAAACGTCTGATGCTAAAATAGAATGATTCAATTTTGAATTTCTTAATTATACAGCTCAATTTTGAAATGCCAATCTTTTAGAAGGTAATACCAATAAAATTGACAACCAACAAATGTGTATAGCACATTATTAAAGGGGAACCGCTCAATCCGATGGATTGCACCACATGCTCATGAGTAATTAACTCCGCCTCTGTCCACAAAGTAAATGAATGCTTATTATGCTTGCTTACTCAAACTGTGATTGACAGGCATTTTGCATATATTAGCCGCCATTTTAAAATTAGGATTTTTACTTGTCGCGGCACGTTTCTACCAAAAACAACAACATTTATACATCAAAAGCCCAATCAGATAAGTGTAAATGCTAGCATACATATTCATGCCCCGTAGAAATGTATTTGAAATCACAGCTTGATCTCTAAACATTGTAAATGGAACATTTACCAGAGCTCCAGTCATGATGTAAGTGTATTATGTTCAATTTCACACTTAATACTTGATGGCCATAATTGTCGATATGATACGTACTTTCTCCTAGATGGTCCAGCCGAGTATGATCTACTTCCAGCAGAGTATGGTCTAGAACTACTGCCATACCATGTTTTTGCATTTTTCTTTGGTCTGCCGACAGGTTTGGATTCAGTTGCTGGGTCATATACATAAACTCCCTCTGGTAAATAAGGATGCTGAAACACAAGAATAGCCAGTTATAAGGGCTTGCATTGGACTAGATTTTTCTTTTTTGAGAAAATAAATGAAGAAATTGAAAAAAAAATCCTGAAAATACTAATGGGAAATGATGGAATGATCACAAAAAAACAAACAACTTGTATCCCTTGCATGCGCCCTCAGTGACGCAGACTAGCTTTCTAATCAATGTTGTAATTCGTATCACTAACATATGATCTATTTCTGAAAAAAAGCCTGCTTCGTTACTGTAAAATACTTTATTTTAGCTGAAATTTTCGCTGAAATGACTTTTTGGGTGTTTTGCATGGAATTTATTTTCCCTGACAAGTTGGGTGTGAAATATAAGTAAAAAAGGTATATTCGCTGGATTTTATTTTCACTGAATCATTCTTTTCAGCCTGTGCTGTGGACTTGTATTTTTTAACATTGATTATGATATATCATATACACTATATACATTTTGTATTTCACTTACTGTAAATGTTGAATTTCTCATGTGACGTTTTATTTGTTCTCTGAAATAAAAAGAAAAAGGTTACAGACAACTTGTATGAAATATGATAAAATATGTGAAAAATTACCACTGTTCTTTTAGCAAAATCATTACTGTTACAAAGTATTAACAGATTATTACTCAGTTTAGAGAAAACTACACAAACTGTTTCTCACTAATCTTGGGTAGAAAATAAATAAAATAAAAATATATAACACAGAATTTGTTGGTATCATGGTATGCTATACACAAACTGTAAATCAGTAGTGCAATAGGTGATTTTCCGTACAATTGCGAGATCTCGTGAGATGCATGAAAGACACGCGTCGAACGTCTGCCGCAAAAATCAAACGATTTGATTTTGAACTCGAATTTCCTTATTTCGTAGCTCACACCGACCGGCCGATCTTCGACAGAAGAATATTGCTTCCGAATACCCTTACTTAATCGAAATTGCCTATCATCAAATGTGGACAGCACATTATTAAGCATGGAAATATCCCCCAAAATACTTTCGCGTTTGTCGAATCCCACGCGATGTTTTACGCCACTACGACCTTTGTTTGTCCTGTTTTTACGTTCGTTTTTACGCATAACGCGTGATTCTCGCAGTGTACGGAAAATGGTCTATTTATGCTGCTAACAATTTTCGAGACTAGGCAATTTGTGTGCTTTCTTCAGAACAACATTTTGAGAAAGTCATTGTGACTCACTGTCTTAAAAATCTAAAATAAAATTTTCACTGCAGTAACATTTCTCTTTATCGGTTACTGGTACTTGTGAAACAGACCTTGGATGCAAATGGCCATTGAGATTTCATTGAGAGAGAGACACACACACACACACACACACAATCCTTGTTTTTGCATCTCAAGTTGTGTTTTATTCCGTTCACATGACCACAGCATTTGCTAGGAAAAGTGGACAAGTTCTTGGTGGCCTAACATTTAATATCTATTCATGACTATATGATTCTCACAAAATTAAAGCAGATTACAGTAAAACAATTTGTATTCAGCCTAAACAGGCAGCTAAGTAAACACTTTTGAGTGATGGAATATCACCTCTATAGCCTCAGACTAATTCTATTGTACCTTGGGGGCAAGGACGTAACAAACTTACATTCAATAACATGAACTGCATGCATTAGTGTCTGAACCTGTTTTCATTTCAATTGCATACCTTACAATTACACCCAAAAAAACATTACCCAAATAGGTAAAAAATAAAAATGTTTGTACGTTGTAATTTTTTTTTTTTACCTATCTTTGGTTTGTAATAAAGCTTATAGCTGTGAACACAAAGTCACACAGTTATCATCCAAAGCAAATGGTTTTAACAGAGAATAAACAGACATCAATTCACCCAGCAATTAATTAAAAGACTCATGTAAGGTTGTCTTATGTATAACCACAGTCCCTCCACATGGTGTGCTGGGACTGTGGTATAACATACAAAGTTAGTGCTTTAACTAGATATATATTTTAGCAAATTCGTCTCAATGCACGAATTAACTGAATCTTAATTTAGCTACTGTAAAGTGTCAACAATCTCATTGTGAGAATATACTTTATTTCAAATCTAATAGCGATATCTTGAATTATCAAATTTACAGATTACCAAAGTTAGCTAAAATAACTTGTTTTACTGTATTTTGACACTTGTTTTGGGTTTTAAAGGTATGCATATTAATGGCAGCATATGAACAAAATAAAACTGCTTGGTTGGCTGACCACAGACACTGAGGAATTGTTCCCTAATCGCAGAGGTCATCAGAGAGTACAGGTCTCGAACAACTGAATCTGTAATCAATAACTATAAGTGTTATACAAATTATCACCAAGTACCTGATATAAAATTCTCGCTCTGAGTCAATCTCGCAGTCCCTGGCGTTTAAATGATTCAATTTTTGTTTCACCTTCGGGTCATGGAAATAATGTTTGAGACTTCGGTCATGAAGGCCATCATATCGAAGTGTCGATTTCTAGAGAAAAAAAAAAAAGAGAAATATAATATACACATCGGACTTGTGTCACATGGTACCTGTTTTTTTTTTTCTTTTTTTTTGCTGCAAGAAATATTAATGATTTGATATTATTAGTAAGGTCAACAGTTTTTGGAAAGTCACTGTGACCATCGCATGTCTTACGAATTCCAAAGCGATGTTCACTGCTACAAATTCCAGAAAAATAATTAAAATAATTTACAGTGTACTTAAAACTTTTAAGGAATTCTGTGCGTGGATGGCATTTAATTTAATTTGTGAGGGAGTATTGTGTAAAAGTCACTGTGATTTCACTCTACGTAAAAACTTTCAGAATTTTTACAAACGAAAATTTGTCTTCTGCGTAAATAAGGCAGTTGACAGTTACATATAAAATATTACTATTGTCGATGTTTTTATTCAAAATAAATTATTAAATAAACACATGGCATACAACAGATTATTTATTTAGAGTTAACTATTTCATGCTCTCCATATTTTATCACATAACACCCAGTAAATCTATCCATCAACAAATGGAGCTGCTGTACTCATTAGTTTTTAAATAAACCAGTAAAATCACATTTGTATACAGTTCAACCTTCTAGTTGTTATATGCATAACTACCTTTATTTCATTTGCACAAGAGGTTCACTTAGTGGCCACATAATATACCATTGTGGAATTCAGTCCACTTTATATCTCCTATAACCCTTGTATTGTGTGGATTGTTTTTATAGCTGTCTCATTACACTTTTACCTGACACTGCTTAGTTACCTGTACACTGAAGGCAACACAATGGGTTGCTAAGGACATGCATTATCATGAATTACACCTCAGTTTCTGTGTAGTAATAAATCAATGCTCACAGATAAAATTCATTTTATTTAACAAACTGAAAGTTGACTGGTAATTGTTATCATTTACAAAATTAGAATAATTTTTAACCATTTTCATGAGAAAAATTTGACCTACATAGCAATTAATGAGAAAGTAAGGACATTTGTTCAAAAATTTAACTAAGAAATTATGGAAAAATGTCAATGTGCAAAATAAGAAAAAAAAAATATGGTGTTCAAAATTTTTTTTTATAAATGACAGTTGAACAAATTAAAATTAGAGCATATCAAAAAACTGTATGGACAAACAGAAAAATTGAAGTTTAGCGGAGAATATCATTGCCAAAAAATGTCCATTCCTTCGTCATGTTTAAAATTATGATGTTATGAT